TCCTGCATGAACCCATACCTCTGAAGCATCGGCTTTGGTTGTCCCAGAAACTGTTAATGTCACTGCTGGGATTGTTTCTTTTTCTCCTGCATCTGGGGCTGGCAGGAACAAGTTTCCCTTCTCTCCTTATGTGCTAAATTTTACTAGAAATATTTATTATATTGCCTTTGTAGCCTGGAATAGATGTCAGAGCCTCAGCGAGCTCTGCAAGGGTATGAACTCCCTGGAGTGAATTGGTGAACAGTTAATCTTGTTGTAAATTCTAGCAAAGATGCAGAGAGCAGAGACATTCACTTCTTGACTGCTGCATGTCATTGTGATTAAATGGTACTTAGCTGCAGTTCTTTAGGTCAGTCAGCTAGCAGTGTCAGTCCTGATGTAGACTCTTTAATTGCCCAAATCCTTCCTGAAGGAAGTGCTCTGGAGTGGTACAAAGAGCTCAGCTGACTTTAGCTCTGCTCCTTTCTTTGGTGCTCATAATAACTGTTACCTGGGGGGGATGATGGATGCTGCTATTCCAGTGTGCCTCTCTTGTAATGTTAGAGTAAACACTTTGCTGCAGCTGTAAACATAAGGCTAATCTGCCTTTCTCAGAAGGTGCTTGTCTCCTTTCCCACTGTGTTGGTTGCAATGAGCTCATCTGTGTTGCAGTAAATGCTGGCAACAGTTTTATGTAAAACATGCTTCCAAACAAGCCTGTTTGGATGGAGAGGTCTGAACGATCTTGCTGCATTTTCCTTGAGAGAGCAGCAAGAGCGTGTTGAGTTTGTCAGCCTGCATGATGCCAGGTTCACCTAGTTTTAACTTTTGTTTCTTTGACAAATGGGGAAGTGACTCGATGAGGAGACTGAGATGAAGCCCTTTATGCCAGGGGCTTGAAGGGTCACACATGTTCTCTGGCATGCTTACTGCCTGCATGAACCTCTGCACAGACCTAAGCTGAGTGCGTGCTGCCTTCTCGCCCCCGCTGTGGCCTGTGGAAAGGCTGATGATGTCTGTTACTGAGCACCAGGCTGTCCTGCTGGCTGAAGGAAGAAACGTGGATCTGTCTGGCCTATTCTGGGCCCAGGCTGTCTGGAGCTGACAGCCTGGCTGGAAGCCCTTGGCACTGTGTGGAGCACCCCGCTGAAGTGGAAGAGGGATTGAGACCATTGCTAACCCCTTTGAGATTTGGAAAGCAGCTCCTCCTGGCTCCTCTTGCTATCTTACAGACTTAGCTGTGGCTTGGCTTTCCTGCTTTGTGGACAACTTGAGCCACCATAGCTGGCTTTCTTTTTCCTTGTCTTTGGCATCAGGCTGTCAGTGGTGGCTTGTGTGATGGATGAATGTAGCACCACACTACATCCATCCGTGGCCCTTCTGGAGGTTTCTTTTGCGCGCTTTTTTTTTTTTTCTTTCCCCAGCTAAGAGACTGCCACCCCCAAAGATAAGATGCAGTGCAGCTGTCTCTCCGGCAGTGGATGCTGAATTTCAACTGCTGGTGGGCCAGCTGCTCATCACAAGTGATGTTTCTGAAGCAGAACCTGAGACTTGCCCAGCCTGCAAAGGTTTGCTTTGGGATTACTTGGTGCAGAGACCTCAGCTGTGCTGTTAATAGATCCATCTGCCTTAAGATCCCTGGACCTTGGCCTGGAGCCCTTCACTGGCCTTTCTTGACTGAACGGTTGTTTTAACGGCTGAAAGTGCGGGTGTCACTGCTAATAGGAGTTACAATATTGCTGCAGAAAGGCAACAACTATCAGAAGAGAAAGGACGTTTGTGGAAAGAAAGTGTTCTTCATAGCTTAGGTCAGGGCCCTATCCATTTATAACTGCTGGTCTGTGTATGACTGAACATGGGTCCAGACTTTATTGCTGTATTAAGGGAGCAGTTACCCAAATCCTTCCAAATAAGGGTCTTAGTCCAGTGTAAGCAATAATCTGCCCATGCATGAAGAGTGAAGGCTGAAGGAATAGCAGATATTCACCTAGGGAAGACCATCATTCTACTAAACTTGAATATAAGCTGTGGTCAGATGGAGATTGAATGTCTTCTATTAACCTGAATGAAACTACATTGTTCAACCTCAGCACAAATATGCTTTGGGAATATGATTGGGTTTATTTGTCTTGGCATTTGCAATCATGCCCTTTCATAGTATAGATTAGCTTTTGATTAAAGTAGAAGCACTAGTTAGACTTTGTAATTTCTGGGCTGTGGGTGGATTTCAAGACAGCCTTATCCATACTCTCATCTTGAAGAAAGAAGAACTCTACCTCATGCATTCCTCATAGATATGTCTAACCTTTTCTCTAGCACTGGAGTCTCTTAAGACTTTTTTTTTTGTGTGTGTGTATCCCAATGCAAAATATCCCACTGTTGTAAAGCTTTCCTCAGTGTTGTAGTCACATGTGCTGTGGTTTAAACTTGTTTACGTCATAGCTGCGTGACGATTCATCACAGAATAAAGGAAGTCCAACAGAGCTTCCTGGGTGTGTTCACGCTGCTTGGAAATTCAGCCAGTGGGTGGGTGGCTCTCTACTGAATGAATGACAACATGCTCTCATCTGCAGTTTAGTTTTGGAAAAACAGATACAGAACTGGATAGCAATAAATTCAGCCAAGGCAGGTCTTTTCTGTGTCACTCAGATTTTGAGCATCTTTCTAAGGGAGAAAAACAACCATGTGCTTTGAGAGAAGAGCTCTGTGGCGATTCTGTACAGCCATTCCCCGCTTCAGTTTTGGCCTCAACAGTCCAGGCAAGGAAAAACTCATGAGGAAAGGTGAGTCAGTGACAGAGAGCAACGGGGACATGTGCTTTATGTAACCAAGGCGTTATCCAGACCTCAAAATAGCATCTCAGCATCTGCAAATAAAAGGGGAATTGGTGATGAAGTTCAGGTGGCTGCTGGTTGTTCTCAGCATTGTGGGCCACGATGGGGGAGGACAGAACAGCATCTTTTTGTGTGCCCCCTTTATCATGGGAAAAGTATTGTTTGCTAAGTGATCATATCTTAGTGGGAAAGCCCCTGTAAGGATTTCCCCCCCCGGAAATCTCTCTATTTAGCACATACTCTATTTCTGAGCAGTTTCACTCATTTATCCAGGAATATGGGCTAGATAGCTGTGTCTGTTTCAGCTCCTTGCAGATGGGAGCTGGCCCTGGATGCATGAGAGGTACTATGCTGCTTATACTGATAACCCTGCCTCACCCCAGCTGGCTCTGCACAGAGGAGGCTTGTACATCTGGGGGGACATGGCAGAGCTGGTCTGAAGGTGACTACGCAGCTAGAGGTGGCCAAGGATCGCCTGCAGTTACTGGGTACCCCAAAGGAATTGGACACATACCTGTTGCAGGTTTTTTTTCCTCTGGAAGTGACAGCTGTCCAGGCTCGAGTGGTCCCTCTTCTCACACACGGTGCGTCCAATTTCCACGTGGAGCATGTATTTCAGCCCTCTGACAATCTAGAGAAAGTAGTTTCCTCCTTTGAAGTAAGGGCAAGGGATGCCAAAATTTTGGCTAGGAATCAAATGCTACATCTGTGAATTGTGTGTGGTGGTGTGGATAGAAGTGTGTTATGTTGAATTACTGGGGGGGGGAGAAGGGGGGGGGGGGGGGGGGGAAGTCCTCCTGTGGAGCAGTTGAATGGGATAGAGGGACATGTGCTGTGTATCTTTAGGCACGCATAGCAGTCCTGAGGAGGATCAGGGCTCCCATATCTTGGGTGCTCTGTAGGTGGGTCAATTGGTAAATGGTTTGGAGGACCACCAGAAATCTGGGGTCTTCTTACCTGTACCATAGCTTTGTTTATTTGTGATTCCTTAAAAAGAAAGAGGTCATTGGAACTGTTGTTGTATCTGTAAACCCCAAAGCGAGCTGCCTTGCGGACACCAGGATTGTTGGTGTTCATCGGGACAGGGAAGCCAGGTTTCATGGTCGAATTAGGTGGTGGTACATCTGTAGCTGAAACAACACAAAACATGAGTGCAAAACACATCAGGTGCCTGAAATGGTGGGAGCTTCAGCCCTCTGAAACAATGCTAAACCTTCTTACTTGTCCCATGCACTTGTGCTTCAGAAGGACTCTGCTCACATCCATTAGAAAGTAATTTTCCTTTATATGTTTGAAATGGTGAAACAATCCTGTGGAATGAAGTGACAGAAAAAGATTCTGCTAGAAGTGGTAGCAGAGCTCAAACTGACTTAGAAGAAGCCAGGGTATCATGACTATTATTTAGAACATCTCTGGTATGACTCCCAGCTCATAGAAGGCCCAACTTTGAATCTAGTTCTAAAGCTAGGTCATGTTGCTCAGAGTACAATATAATTTTGATAATTTATCAAACACTGGCTGCTCTTAGTTGGCATGCCAAGTTTAACTAGCAGACATAAGTCTTTCCCACCTCCCCCTTTGATGGCATCTTGAGGTTTTTATTTTAGGGGGATTTAGGTGGTGATAAAGGTGGGGGGAAGATCCCCTCCCTCTACATGCTGACAAAGGAGAGGGTGTCCTTGTTCTCCAGCTGGGCAGGGAAGGGCCTGGGGCAGAACTTGGACTAGCTCCCCGCTGTCCTGGAGAGCGGGCTGCTTTGGGTGCTGAAGTGCTGTTGCCCTGACCCAAATGCCAAGGACCATCTTATTATCACAGCCATCAAGTGGAGGAGCAAGGTGTGTAGGAAATGGAGATTGGGCTTCCAAGCTTGAGCACTTCTTCTCACACAGCCCTTATTACTATATATTCTTACTCGGTTGTGTAGCTAATTTCCTCGTGCCCAGCTTGTTTTTTCAATAATTTAAAAGAAGCTCAAAGGTTACGGTTAACACCAGTATTTTCTCCCCTTGACACTTGCCTTGCCCTCCATTTTCCCTGTTCTGAAATACAAACAAGAGGAAGAAATCCTCAACCTACACAAGCTGCTGTTCAGCCACTGCTGACGCCAAGACCTGCCAGTGCAGGAGGTGGCCCTTGGAGTTTGTGCCCTGTGTGTGTGTGTCTAGGCAGCGAGCCTGCATGTGCATGTGCATACAGAGCTTGTACTAAATGTGCTGTGAAAGTGAAGCTTTTTATTACCTCCAGCTTTTTTTCACAGCTAGTTCTCTCACTAACAGCCAAGCACAGAGCATAAACCATGTATTTAAGCCAGTTTCTACTAAGAAACTCCAAAGTAGAAGAGATAGGGGCAACCTGGTGACCCAGAATCTATTTAAAAAAACGCAAAACCGCAGCATTACATGCCATCATCGGCACAAGAGGCTGCAAAAATTCAGCTTTCAAGTTGCTACGTATGTCCTAATTACGCTATCACATCCTCCCCCGCAGGTGGTAATGGCTGCACCCCCTTGTAACACTGCTCAGCGATTAAAGTGTTGACCTGCAAAGGAGAGAGACAGTTCCACGTCCCTCCTCCATCCAAGGATGTCCAAATTCACATCTCTTCCTGGCTGATACACCAGCTATCTTAATGACCCCCATGTTTTCTTGCAGGTGGGAGCTGAGAGACCCAGACCATGTATCTGAGAGGCACGGATGTTTTGCAAGTGGCTTTGTGTCTGGTGTGGAAGTGACAAGCTTTCCTGCCCCACGTCTCTGATCTATGTTGGGACTGGGTGTGCAGCCAGTGCTGAGCAACCCGGCAGTGTTTTTTTCACGTAACAGCCCAGAATCCACTAGTAGGTCCCAAGACTATTCTCTATGGCATGGTATTTTCCCACTGCAGCAAGGGTGGGATTCAAGAGTCAGAGGGACTCATGACCACGCAGCCTAGGACTGAAGGTGTTTCTCAGGCAGCATGTCTTATCCAGTGGTCAGCTTATGGATAAGACTTTCCAAAGCATCTGTTTGTCCTCTTGTCCTGAACGGGGACTTCGCCTGGGGGTAGAGGTGGTGGGACCCACAGGTGATTCAAGAGGGCCATGCAGGACCTGCCTGAAGTCAAAAAGGAAGCTTGTTTTGGGCCTTGCCCACAAGACCAGCTGTCCTTATTCTTAGGGTTACTATGCTTTTTCCTGTGCCATCAATACCAACTCAACAGCTTATAGGAACAAGTTTTTTTTTCCTGAGCTCGCCTAGCAACTAAGCCAGGCTGCCAGGCTGAGAGCAGGTCACTGGCTTGTGCTCATCTGGCTGCTCCTCAGGACCTTGCTTGAATCTATGCCCTTATGCCTGTTGGAAAGTCAGATGTGGCAGTGGTGGGGATGTTGACAGCAGATACTGTCCTTTGCAGTAGGAGGAGATAACTGCAGGCTTTTTCAATCTTAGCACAAAGTCACTTTAGCACTTCGCCCTCAACACCTCTTGAGTCATGACGACATCTTTTTTTAGGCATGGGGTGGCAGAGTGAGAGAGGCTGGCTGAAGTCACCCTCTGTGTGTGGGAAGAAAACTATGAAGTGTGTTCCCCAAAGCAAGAGGCAGAGTTCAAAGTGCCCTTGTTCCTGACTCTAGTGCCTGGTAGATCCATCAGTGTCACATGTGGTGAGGCCTCTGAAATGCAATATCTGGAGAGGTAGGCTCACAGTCTAGCAAGCTGGCCCATGTGTTGTAGACAGGTAGCAGGCTGGTAATACACCGTGTGTGGTGGGCAGATGGTAGGCTAGTATATTTTTGCTCCAACTTTCACCAAGGGGTACCGGGCATTTCACCTCTTTCACCCATTGCAACTTGGTGTTGAGAATGACTCATACCAGAGCAAAATGGGTATAAAATCTACTGAGTCCTTGTGGGAGAACTTTATCCCCCTGTTTTCCTCTGGTGACCCAGATTCCTCAAGGCTAGGATTTGTTTTTCTTGATGTGCTTTGACTCTTGTTCAAGGTAGTCACTTCATGGCATACACAGTGTTCTGAAATCGCTTTTGCTGTTTGGAATAGTTTGCATCACTGTATTTCCAAAACGCAGATACTCTCTGGTGTAAGGTACCTGTGGTTCTGATTTTCTTCGCTGCAACCTTTTCTAATGGATTCTTCCCTAGCTTGATCCTTGAAGGCCATTACCTTGAGAAGCTGAATGTGCGTAAGGTGATGGCCTCACTCCAAGAGCAAAGCAGAATGGCCCATAGGGTCAGATAACAGTGCAAGGCTCTAGGCATAGCAGTATTGGTGAAACCCTTGTCGTCCAGGCCTGGGTGCAAGGCTCTAGGCATAGCAGTATTGGTGAAACCCTTGTCGTCCAGGCCCGGGTGGGAGCAGAGGCACTGCATGACCTGGCCAGGCACCTACAATACTCAGAGGCCCAGAGGATGTGATCTCATGACCTGGGAACACAGCTCTTACTGCTCTACAGGGAGATGCTTAGGGCCAGAGCATTTGTATTTTAGACCCCATCCTTGCTTCTGGGTTTGGAAATGTGAAGAGAGAGGGGAAAATTTGGCCTGCCTCCTCTTCCTTCTGTTGGACAGTAGTAGGGTAGACTCTTTTCTTGCTCTGAGATAACAGGCAACTGCCCGTTATTAAGCAAGAGGTGGCTGTTCTTGCAGCGATGAGTTGAATGTTGAACTAAGAGGCCCTCCCTTGTGCTTTTCTCATTGAGGAATAATTTGGGGGCCCCGTTCCTGCAGTATGAGAGAGCAATTCTATGGATGCTCTCTCCCAGCCTGCAGTGAAGCAAATAGGCCGATTGCAACAGGTTTTTCCCATGGGTGCTTTCAAAACCTCCTCCCCATGACTAGGAGCAAGCCTAGGCTTTATCTTTACATTTAAGGCACAGCAGAGTTCCTGCATGCCTCTGCAACCCCCAAAGGAAACCACAGCCGAAACAAAAAGCTACTGGCTAACCAAACACCATCCCTGAGTGCATTAGTACTTTCTGTGTATGGGAGTCAAAGTAAAACTGAAGTAGAGCTAAAACCTTCAGAGAGAAAACACTCCTGTCTGCAGCTCCCATTCTAAAGATTTAAGGCAAGCTGCAATCAAGAGAGTTTCCTTGCTCAGCAAAGAAAGGAATGATACGGAGTAATGTTTCATTAAAGTCAGCTAATCGGCACTCAAGTGCCCATCTGTACTTAGCAGTCAAATTGTTACCCACAGTCTTTAGATTTAATAATCAAGGTCATGCAGAGTTTAAACACTAACAAATAAGTTAAACCCTGAAGTTGACTTTAAAATCCTTAGATGATGTCCCTGGATAACACGGTTTGCTATAAGGGGAGAAAGTCTTTTAGGCAGTTGGATTTTCAGCTGCAGTCTGAACCCTGCAGTGCTGAGCCAACATGAGCAGCAGTTGGAGAAGGGCTGTTATTTACCAGTACATTAGAAAGCAGCATTCACAGGACCTAAAGCACAAGGAAAACAGAATTATTTTCTACTCTTACCATCTGAGGTCCTGGTGAAGCCCCAGAGTGCTAAATAGCAAAGTGCGGCAAAGCTCCAGGCGAAGTTCACTGCCATCTCCACCGCGTCAGAAGAGGAGCCCGCCAGCAAGAGGAGTGACCGCCCTGCTTCCTGCAGGGGAAGATGTGCCTCTTCGAGTGCTCTTATTGGCTGGGAGGAAAGAAAAAAATCACCCTAAAACCCCCTGAATCATCACAGCTCTGATGCAGACTTCGCCTCCTGCTGATGACTGCATACCTCAAAGCACCACAAAACTCTAGATTGGTGATAGCAGCACCAGTCCTGCATCAGACAGGGACTTTTGCTTCGTGATCCTTAGGCATTGTGCAGAAGCGTGGGCTTACATCGTATGTGTGATGTAACACTGGGAAGTGGTGTCGGGGTGAGGAGGGTAACAGTCATGTGCTTTAAGATTCATGGGGAAATTTAATCCCTAAGAAATGGGCAGTGAGCCCTGGGGATGCAGTTCTTGGCTTGTGTATGGGTGTCTGTGCGGGGAAAAGCCTGACAGAGAAGATAGGTCCAGTGTCTTGCTTTCCCTGACATGGAGATGTGAGGTTTGGGTGGGGGAGACAAGGAAGTTTTAGGAGCACCTACCTGAGGGGGCTGTGTGGAGCAGAGCCAGTAGGAAGAGGATTTTGGTTTTGATGGCAGAGGAGAACACTGTGCTCTACATTTACAAAAGGTGTTCTGACAACAGCGAAGGGCTGCACTAGGCTCAGAGGAGGTGAGGTTTTTCTTTAGGTGCTCTCCAGAGAGCAAGAGAAACACAAGAGGAGGGGTGGTTTGGCTCTCTGGCAAGCAGGGCTTTTCAGCTCCGGGGTTGGATTCCCCAGGGTCAGTGCTGGGTTTCCAGAGAGGTCATCTCCAGGCAGTGTTTGTCCATGCTGAGGAGCTTACAAGTTTGGGGAAAGGAGTTGGTTGCTAGACCTTGTGATGCACCTGAAATCACCAGCTGCCAGAATCAGGAGACTGGGAGATGAACTGATGTCTCACTGAAGGGCTGGGTGTGGTGGACTGTGTGTGTGCATTTGTTTCAGGTGAGCAGGAAGATGGTGGTTGCCTTTCACTTGCCGCAGCAATGAACTGTCCTCCTTTCTGAGCAAAGACATCTTATTGCCTGAAGGAAAGTCCTAATGTAGGTTAGTGTAGGTGGTGCATAAGAAGCTGGAAGAAAATAATCTTAGTGTTTCCTTGTAGGAAGGGATTTGGTAAACCCTCTGTTGAAACATCCCAACAAGAGAGAATGGGGCAAGCATGGTGAGTCACATTTATCATCAGTCCTACTCGCATAGTGCTTCTGAATCACATTGAGAGAGAATGAGAGGGGCTATATCGCGTTTTTTTTCGTGTCCCCCCCCCCCTTTTTTTTTGAGCCACACAGTGACCTGTCCCTCAACCGTGGCACAGGCAGGGACTCACTCCTCTGCGTGGCTGAATCAGGTATCTTCAGCCCTCCCTTTTCCCTCAAGAACTGTGCTCTAGAGTTCTGCCTCACTGAGAGACTCTGGGGGAATGTCTTTGTAAGCCTATCGTCGAGTCCTCCTGCAACATATGCAAGAGAGAGGGTGGTCAGGACCCTTGTCACTGGATCCCAGCACATCTCCTATGTGTTGCAAGAGCCTGTTTGTCACCCTGCTGCAGGATGCACCAGAAAGGGGTTCAGGGCTTCCTGCAGGACCTCGGTCCCTGCTCTCTCTGCTTCCCGGTGAGCTCACAGCCTTTTGATTTGAGTTGAAAGGGGCCCAACGTGAGGGTCTGCTCAGGGATTTGAGGGGATCTTTCTAGAGTGTAGATTCTTTCCTTGCTTAAAACGAGTGCTTTGGGACACCAGTAGCAGCCCTTTGGCAGGGTTTGCTGTGAGTGGGGACGATGACTAACAGAGAGGGTGGTGAGATGCAACTCCAGCACCCACCCGGCTGTGTGCAAGGCCACCTTACTTAGCTGTTGGCACTAGAGGGCACCAGAAGGTAATTTGCTGTGCCGGAGCCCAGGCTTGCCTGGCCCAGGCACCCCCAGAGCATCTTGAGCAGCCGCTGCTGTTCTGACCTGAGTGCTGGGGAGATTGGGGTCCCCTTCTGTGGAGCCCCTTCCTCTGCACAGAAGCCAAAGACAAGTGCAAACCTCACAGACAGAGCGGAGTTGTCCCCAGTGGAGCAGGGACAGACCCCAGGGGCAGTGGCTGTGTTTCAGCCTTGTCCGAAACTAGCCTAGGAGGTTGCCTGTGGCTTTGACAGATCAGCCCTTGGGTGCCTGATGGCTGGTGCCCCAGGGCAGAGGGGAGTGTGCTCTGGCTGTCAGGGTACCCGTGCCCATGCTCTGATGCAAACCTGGCTTGTTCTGCCTCCTGCTCTCCTGCTGTGGTGGCATCTGTGCTGCCACAGACTCTGTCCTGGGGAGCCTGACCTAGGACCTGCTCTTTCCTGAAGAGCACTGTTTTACTGTTAACAGGGTTTATAATGCCTAACAGTGACTTAAAGAAAACAGCATGTGTCTGCAGAGGGCACATTTTTCCTGCCTTCTTTGCTCTCCCCTTCTTTCCATAAAATTGCTCATTTACGGCTCTTCCAAATCAACTTTTCCTTTTCCTAATGACCTTTTTATGACTCTGCTGAGGAAGTTTCTCTGGTTCTTTTCTCTAGGAAGTAATAGAGTGCTCACTAATGAACAGTAGTATTAATAGTGCTAGGTACTATTATGTAAAAAAAAAAAAACAAAACAAACAAAACCCAAACAAAAAATCCCAAACCCACCAAAAAACTCCCCCTCCGAATAACTGACAAATAATAGCAAACTCCTCCAAGCCCACAATATACTTGTTATTTTTCCTTGGGAATTTTTGTGCCATGGAGGAACCTGTGCCTGGAGACTGGGACCATCATCCCTTTGCCATGTCTCATTCCAACCAGGTGCCATCTCCTGGGACACTGCTCTGTGCCCCAGATCCCTGTGTCTGCAGGTGGAGTGGAGCAGTGCGATGTCTCATCTGACATCCAACCCAGGAAAAGGAGGCAGATCCTGTTCTCTCTGAAGCTCCTTCAGGGTCACTGATGGGAATTTTGCCCACTTTCCCTGGAACACATGTGTAGACCACCTCCTCCAGATGAGCACAAGGCATGTGGGGCACTCTGCGGGGTGGTTTCTACTCCCTAAATTTCCCACTATGTGGCTGTTCCTCCTGTGTAAGCAGAAATCCTCAACAGGGAGAGGATGAAAGTAAGTGGGCAAGGAAAGGCCAGCTGATTATCCCAGGGGAAACAGAGCATTTGCTTTAAGCAAATAGCTAGCCCTGACCCAGTATAAATCAAACTTGTGATCTTTCTGCATTAAGTTGGGTTAAATAAATCTTAAAAGACTTGCATGCCTGAAGAAACCCTTGTGTTTGTTTTTGTGTGAGTAGGGGATGTTTGTTGCAAATTGTGGGAGACCAGGTCCGCTCTCTTTTCTGCAAGGAGTTTGTAGAGTCTGTTCATTCTCCTACTGTTGGGCTGGGTTGTTAGAGGCTTGGAAACTGTGCAACTGTGGGGGGATTTTTTTGATTAAAATAAAAAACCCTCAACTTTTATTATCCGTAAATCAAAGATGTATTTATCTCCTTCTTTTCCATTGAGAAAGCAAAACCACAGTGCCTGAAGTTTGATTCTCATGACATTTGGTGCATATGGTGGACTTTTTCAGCATCACTTTTTGCTTCTGTCATTCAAGGCGCACCTTTGGCCACACAGCACAACCCAGCAGTTGCCACCATGGCTTCCTGGAATAATGCCAGCGGGGTCTGCAAAGGGTCATGTTGGAATTACACTCCTGTGAATGCAATCAGCGTCTAGCCCTGCACCCACAATTTTTCACTTGCAGTTCTGACTCCCCCTTTGCACTTCACAGATCAGTCGGGGACTGTGAGAAAAATTCATCTCATTAACTTTTGCAGGGGCTTGGAGGATGACTGGAGTGTGTTTGAATTGTGCTTTCAAAAGTTTTAATTAAGACACATTTACCAGTGTCAATAGCTGGGGCTTTTTTCCCTTTCATCTTTTTTTGCATTTTCCAGGCCTTCATCTGATCCCCAGGGCAGCTAATTTAGTTGGGTTTGCTTTAATGAAGGATCTGAGCAGGAAGATGCTTGGCATCTCAGCTGGAAGAGAGAATCACCACACTTCAGCTTTTGGTAGACTAGTACATGGGAAAATGTGTGCTACTTTGGCAGAGTGGCAACAGCAGACTTTAAGCCTTAAAGGTGAAAGAGGTGGGCATGATGTCTTCTTCCACACTGAAGACTTGCACTTTGCAGATGCTGAAATACGTTGAGGTGCAGAAAAAGGACAGTCCAAGGAAGAAGGACCAGGATAAAGAATTCAGGTGAGGACCCTGCTGCTCCTCTGCCTTCCTGTAGCAGGAACACCTTGCCAGCCCGTCTTTCGTAAGTGGAAAACCATGCAGCTCATATAGCAGCAGCTCTTAAGTGCAGGGTCACCTGAGCAAGCCACAGAATACTGATAAACAGGCATGTGGCTGAAAAAGTTTTCTCAGGCACACGGGAAGGAGGAAAATGGTTCAGAGCACACATCCCTATGTAGGATTAAGTCAGCAGTGGTGGCCCCAGTCAGGATTATGGGTCTGTGCACTTGGCAGCAATAGGACATAGAGGAGAAACTGGGGTTTGACACTGGTGGGTTCACCTCACCCGGGAAATTTGTCTCCTTATGCTCCCTTGTCTCTTCTGCCAGGTGCTCTGTAGCTCACCAACACCCCACCTGTGCTCCACTGCAGAAGTTGCTCTGATTTTTCAAAGGGATCAAGGCTCATGCAGTTGCATCTGTTTTTCTACCGGCAATAACTTTTAGACTGATGAATTTCAATCAAATATGAAAGCGGGCTGGAAGACTTGAGGATAATCTGTTTACCATACATGTAGAGGAGAGAAGAGGAGACCCAAATGAATGGCTGGGCCAAGGAGAGGGGGAGCACAACTGTGGCATTTATTCAGTCTGTCTGCCAGCAGCACCGTCAGCTGGTGTGCAGCGATTGCCTACAGATTGCGCTGTGGGTATTTATAAGGGATGGGTGTATGTTGAGACCCCTCCATATTTTACCTTGGGGCTGTT